TTAGTACAAAATATTCAAGCTTTAGAAGATGTCAGACAGTAGTGTGAATACATCAGCGCCATTATGACCGATTTTCAACCGTGTCACTAAGAGTCCTCAACCACCGATTTCTATCTTCTCGAGGATCCCAGTCACATAGTCTACACCTCCTCACATGACTCAGACCAATAGTCAGGGACTTTGTCGACTAGTGCCACATCTTTCTCTCACCACCCTGAACCTTCTTCCAACTTAATTCAATTTCTTCTAGCATGACACGTTGAGGTTAACGGTAACTCGGGATGCCTAACACAAATCTGAGTCACCTTAGCTGATAAAGGTTCGCAACCTCGCCAATCGACTTGCCTTTCTTGTTTAGCACCCTTCGTCTGACGTCTTATAGATTTGTGAATCAAAACTTGTAGTCTCAGTAGCATGCTCGTTAAATCAACAGTTTCGTTCTCAGTAAACAAGGAAGCATTTGCATATCTGCTCCACCTTTCACTGATTATTTATTTTATTATTATTTGTCCCCTAGTGGAACATAGGGCTTCAGTAGCACGTCTCCATTCTACTCTGTTCTCTGCGATCGTTTGAACCTGGCTCCACGACTGCCCAGAAGCTCTCATTTCTTCCTCACACGACCTCCTCCATGTCACCCTTGGATACCCAACTCGTCGTTTCCCATCTGGGTTCCACTCGAGTGCCTGGCCTAGTGTGTGATGTCCCCGAATGGTCTTCTCAGTGTGTGCCTAATCCATCTCCACTTCCTTCTGCATATTTTTTGTGTAATAGGTTGTTGGTTGGTTCGTTGTCAGCCAGAGTTCTTTGTTGCTTATTCTTATTACTCTGGCCATCTGAGCTTCAGTAAGGAGCGTAGGCAGTTGTTGATGAATATCTGTAGTTTGACCTTTCTCTTATGTGTAATTCTAATTCTCCTACTGAGTTGTATTGGTAGACTAGTCCAAACAAATATATTGGTGATTTCCCACGGGCTTTGCGAAACGCCTGAAAAGCGTACTCACGAGAGACAGGCCGGGTTCATTCAAGTCGAAGACGCGTTGGTCACTTGCTCATTTTGTTAGATCCTTGACTATTAACGTCCATAATATAGACCCGTCAGTGTAATGCTTATTGTCAATAATACATGTAGCCGTTGAAAGTAGAAGATTTAGAGAAGTTACAAGTTTTTGGTAGCACTTGTCTTTGTAGTATTGCTCGCATTTGGTGGGATCACTATGTGACTAATATCGAGGTCAAGCCAAGTGTGCTAAGCAAGGAATGGAATTGGGTTAATAAGGTTGTGAACCTACATCGATTGAGGTGGTTTGTACATGTGTTGCGTATACCGAGCCACCGCTTACCTCGACGTTCAGTAGCAAAAGTCGAATTAGGTTGAAAGAAGACTCAGTCAGGGTGACCAGACTAAAACATGGCACCAGTCTATGAAGTCTCTGATTGTTGGTCTTAGCCATTTATGAAGGTATGGATTGTGATTAGGGTTGCTGAGACGATAGGAATCAATAGTTGAGGAGTCTTGGTGAGATAGCTTAAAATTGGTCACAATGACGTATATGTATTCACTCTTTGATATCTTCCAAAACTTGAGTGTTTTTACTAACCTTAATTATCAAATTCCCTCTCTGTCCATGCATCTTTGTCTACCTGGATACTAGTCTTTCCTATGCATCTGTTCTTTGAATGCTACTATGAAGTGTGTCGGCTTGAGCTAATGGACTTGTGTTCAAGGTTCTACGTCGATTTTGTTTGTTCATCTTAACTAATAATATCGTCAACTCGTTGAACAAGTGTGTGATCTAGGATTACATGCCAGACAGATGTCCCCTAGGAATTTATTAAAAATTTTAAGGTTATTGTGATGATACTTGTAATTTCCCGTTGATACATAGAGCTGAATCACTCGACTTCTGTTGGCAGATGGATTCCTATGTGGATGCCTCAATACTGCCGGATATTCATAATGTTACATTGATCTTGGTGAGTAGCAGAGGAGTCTAGGATGCATGTTTCGTCCTATTTGGCACTCGTTAGCCATGAGTGATGTTGTTCCTATTGAGGCTTGAGCCCAGGGTGGGGGAATAGGACGGAACAAGCGTTTTGAATTCCTCTGCTAGTCACCAAAATCAATGTAACATCTTTAAGGCTGCATACAAAAGCACCAGATAGGACGAGAGCATGCAACCACCCCCATTTGTCTAGTGTTTCGAAACAGCATTAGAGTTAAGTACGGTTGTCAGATATCACCGGTCCTCTTTGATTTTATCCTGAGTGTGTTGTGCTTGCACGGATCTGCTACCAGGTAAGACTATTCAACGCTGGATATACAGATTGTATTGTCTTATTTTGTAGAATCACAGTAGTTACACAAATCGCATTTAGTCAGTTGGCAATCGGTGTCCGTATTTTGTAGAATACACTGTACACTGAAACTGTGATTGATTGGTCTAGGCACTCAACTTCCAATCAACGAGTTATGGGGTAGAAGGTATCTCCACCTACTAAGGTTTGGGTAGCCAAGTAGTGTCATTAGCCTTCACACAGTAGGTGTGACTCTATTTCCTACGAACATGCACAAGGTTGTTGAATGGATTTTAATTTCATTTCGTCTATGTCGACCTGAAAAGTGCTTTTATAAAGTGTCTGTCTGCACTTACTATCGGTGAACTGTTGAAATTAGTCAGGAGGTTCATCTATCTGTTTAATTGTGTGAGTAGTGGTAAAGGTGTAACTAATGTGATGTCCAATTGTATTCGGAAATCAAGACCATCTTTTACGACATCGTTACGTTTGCTTGACTGTAGATAGTAAAGTTTTCAATGTGTAAATGTGACAGTTCTACTCTACATCTATGAAAATCAGTCTCTACGAACTAAGGATATCAGATCGTCTGTATCTTCTCTAGCCTACTGATAAGTTGTTAATAAGTACTTTTCAATTTTTGGGTGCAGTAATTAATGCTAGCTTGTAAAATCATCTTCAATGACTCAGAAATGTGTTATGAATATCATCTCAAGGATTTGTAAATCCTTCACTGTTGATGACTAGTTTTGAAAGTAGTTGAGCAAAGTAGATGGAGTTGATCAGTGTATAATATGGTGTCACAAAGTGAAGTATAATTCTACTCAGCCACAATCTTCATATAATTTTTCTCACTTATAATCTTTTAGTGTATCATGACTGTTTGAACTGGGATTCAAATAACACCATGCAACTCTGTCATTTGAGATATCAAACATGTCTCAGACTGTAGCAATGATGCTGTATCTTTCCTGTTTCTTTTGTTATCAAAAAGTACATGATTGGAAGTAATAAACACTTCGTTGAATGTGTCTTCATGACTGGTTTTTTGATGGTTTGCTTACTTTTTTTCTCTTTTCTCCTTTCCTCTACATCAATTTCATATTTTCATGATGTCATTATTTGTTGTGACACATTTTCTGGATGCTTTTATTGTGCCAAGCTTGTGTTCTAAATCACATAAATAATAAACGTGTAGTTTTTTTTTTAAGCCAATGTCTCTCAATCATCACGTGTACTTATCTTGTTTTGTTGACAGTTAGAGAGGTATAGAATATAGATCCGTGAGTTGAAGAAACAAATGTCCCCTATTACTGGGTTATTTGTTAATATCAGAACTTTAGCGGAGTCGTGTCATCTCCTACATCCTTTCCTCTTCGAACGAGGTGCACTAATCAGCAACCTTTTACACATTCGTGTAGTGGGCAACGAGCCGCACCTGGTGTGTGTGTGGGTTGGTTGGTAGGTGGGGCGAGGCTCAAAACCATGACCTATTGGTTGGAAGTCGTCCCCCTAAGTCAGCGAGCTACAGCTCTCCTTTGTCAAAATATGGATGACTAGGCAGTGTAGCCAACTGTTGTCATTGCAGTTTGTAATCTACGGTGTATAAACCTCTATTAGGTTACTGAACTGCTTTATTTGTTAACAGTAGGATTGAGGTTTTGTATTACGCCACCTCAATATCTGATAGTCTACTAAAAGTTGAATGAACTGTGTTCCTATTTGCTCTATTCTACTCTGTAGCTGCGAAACATGGTCATTAAAGGTAGATGGAATGAGAAGGCTTCAGGTGTTTGACCACCGATACGTATAGAGTTTTAGGAAGGATAGGAGAGTCAGTTGATGGAGTTTTAAACCTTCATCGACTAAGATCTCTGGAACACGTTACGCATGCCTCGTCGCAGAATGCTAGCTGATGTAGGTTTATGCTATAAAATGGTTACAACTCAGACTAAAACATAGCATCAGTGCATGGAGTCTGTAATTGTTGATCTAAGGCATGTTGGAAGATGCTGATTAACCGGTTGGGTTCTGTGTGACCACTGAAATCGGTGGTTATTTGGCTCAAATGTATCCTCACATTTTCTTCATCTTAAACACTTCACGGGATTCTGCATTTTCTCATTCCTCCTTCCTGTCTTCTTCTGCTCTTCACTGGTTCTTCTTTATTTCTTCATCTTTGTTGCTCGGTTTGTTGATATAGAGTGCGGTAACTTGAACCGTCACGCAATCGGTAATGCCTAGTCCCATGCTAATATTGATGATGATGGCATGAAACTCGTCACAAATACTGTTACTGTTTACCTCGGAAGTAGGATCTCCTCTGTTGGGTCAGTTGCCGATGAGATTTCTGCATGGATACAAAAGGCTCAATTGCCTTTCGCCAATTTATGCCACCTATGGCACCATCGTGATATCCATTTATCAATTAACGGTCGCGTTTACTGCGCATGCACAGCAATCCGGTCTGTTCTACTTTATGTCTGTGAAACATAGTCATTGAAGGTGGAAGACATGAAAGGGCTGGCTTCAGGTGTTTGACCACCGTTTCCTTTGTAGTATATGCCGTATTCTGTGGTGTGACGACATCACGTGAGTAATGCAGAAGTCAGGAGTGGAGTTTTAGAGAGGGAGAAGAGGTAAATCAGTTGACGACGTTATGAACCTTCATCGATTGAGATGGCTGGCTGACTGGGACACGTACTACGTATGTCTAGTCACCGATTACCTCGTCACACAATGTTGGCCGAAGTAGGCTCAGGCTGGAAAAAGGTTCGAGGTGGCCAGACTGAAACATGGCACGAATGTATGAAGTGTTTGACTGTTGGTTTGAGCCGTGTTGGGGTCAGCGGGACACGAGGAACCGCTAGTGGTTGTAGACCGACTGTAGGTGATGACATGGCTGGGAACCGATGTTAGTGGTGCAGATGTATCCCCACACACATATTACCCTCATCTTAACGATGCTATACCGAATCTCACCATTTTGTCCTTCTTCCTTTTTTTCTTCTCGTACCTTATATTTCTTTTGATTGGGTTTTCTTATCTTTATCTTTCACCCCATTGCGTTTCTACTTGATGTACTGATATGAACTGTGTCAAGTTGGAATGTTACGCAGTGATGCCTTGTCCTATGTTGATATTAATGATGACTATTACTGTATATATGTATATTTCGAAAATCTTTCACTAATCCCACTTTCTGCCTTCATCTCTTCCAGTTACTTTTAACATGGTTACAGCTGTTCAGCCAATGTTTGGTCTATTGAAACGACTCCATTTACATCCAATGGAAAATGCTCTAAATGAATTAAATCCACAAACTTCACTGTTACAATCAATAAAATTTGTAAGCTATTTTTCTTTTACACCTACTTTTATTAAATTCATTCTTATAGAGAGCTCAACCATTTCTATTTCCTAAAAGTAAATCTGAAGAGATACAAGTTGTACAGGACAGTTGTACAGGACACAAAAGACAATCATCCTATTTGCCCAACTCAGATTTAAAGGCTGTCAAGCGTTGTGAGTTGATTTTCTTTCCCTTTTGTGTTTTAGTATAACCACTGAACTCTATTTATTCGTGTTTTCTATAATCAGTCTTCAACAATTACACAAAATGCCTAAGTAATACCACTTTGAATCATCTTTTCAAATGTTCAGCATGAATCGCTTTCAATTCATGCATGTTGTGTTTAGTAGTTAGGGCTGATGAGGACAATACTCTGGTCTTAGACTTTTCTTATGCATTGCTTTGAGATATTACTGAAAGCCTGTGGACAGTTGACACTTCTTCCCTAGTTACTTACCCACTGTGGAAGGTGTTTTCTGTTTAAGGTACCGCAGAATCCATGGGATATTTGCTTGAGACTTGTTATATACAGCCTCTTGTGGGTTGTTGTTTTGAGGTTTGGTTGTTCTAACGCTGGATAGGAGAAATCCATACCACAAGCACTGGAAAACCATAAGGGATAGTGAAGTAAGTTGTTTCTGAAGCCGACTTTCTCTAGCCTCCTCCTTCTTCCCATTGGAAAGGCAGCATCAGCCTACTGCTACTGGTTATCCAAGGGGAACACCCTAATTCTGTCACATCCCGGCCAGCTAACCAACAGTATGACTTCAGTTCCCACGATATTGGTAACTGCATTTCGTCTAACCACTATCCAACAGACCTTTCTGGTATGCTGTAGGAGCTTGAGGGTACTAGCGTTCCACCAGCATAGCCCGTCGGGTTGTTGTGACATACAAGTCTGACGACCACATCAAGATAGCTGCTATTGGCCGGGCTTGAAATACTGTATCCTACATATTGACATTGAAAATAGGTTCAGCTTTCGGAAACTCGTAAGTGTTTCATTTAAAACTAAGTTTTTTTGAGTGCTTAACTATCTTGTCTGTTGGACTTCGGTAAGATTAACATTTTTTATGGCACTAGACAAGAAAGATAAATTGATCGGGAGATTATGAACCTTCGTAGACTGAGATCGCTTGGTTAATGTACTGGGAATGCCAAGCCCCCACCTTCTTCGATGTACCCTGCTAGGGTAAATTGGATAAAGATGGAGGAGAGTTCAGAGTGACCAGACCATGACGTAAAACCAGTCGATATAGTCCTTGCCTGTTGACCTGAGCCGCGTTGGGAGATGTAGACTGATCCTTAGGTGGGGTCTTCGAGATGAGAACACTTGGTGATATGGTTGCATGCCAAGTCTTCTGAACACTATGAGTGGCTATTTGAGAATGTTTAGGATGCGTTTCTCACCACCCAAATGCAAATTGTTGCTTATCGATTCGTCTTCAACGGTGCCCCACCACGGTTAACAATAGAGAGTGAGTGTAGTGGTTGAGTGTGTCGACTGCTTACTTCACTTACCTGGGAAGTAGGATCAGTCGTGACCTGGTGACTCAGTGGCCGATGAAATCTCTGCACGGATACAAAAGGCTGGATTGTCTTTTGCCAATATGCGCCACCTATGGCGCCATCGTGATATTCATTTGTCTATAAAGGGTCTCGTTTACTGCACATGCACAGCAATCCGGTCTGTTCTATTGTATGTCTGTGAAACATGGTCATTGAAGGTGCCACGCTTTGCAGAAGTACACAACGAACAGTTCAATACAAAAGGAGTGATATATATCAGAGTAGATGAAATTTCGTGAGAGAACAAACTATCAGAGGACAGAGGTTAGTGTGAATATTTAACGATTAGATGTCAAGGAGTAAATAAATATGAGCCGTTCTAACCATCATCAATATCAACATAGGACAAGGCATCACTGCGTAACATTCCAACTTACCACACCTCGTATCACTACATCAAGTAAAGAAGGGTAAGCAGTAAAGTGGAAGATGAAGATAAGAAAATTTAATCACAAGAAATATAAGGTACGAGAAGAAAAAGAGGAAGAAGGACAAAATGGTGAGAATCAGCATAATGTTAAGATGAGAATAATATGTGTGTGGGATACATCTGCACCACTAACATCGGTTCTCAGCCATGTGACCACCTACAGTCGGTCTACAACCACTAGCGGTTCCTCGTGTCCCGCTGACTCCAACCACCTAGTCTGCATCACCCCCCCTCCCCCCATACACGGCTCAAACCAACAGTCAAACACTTCATACATTGGTTCCATGTTTTAGTGTGGCTACCTCGGGCGTTTTTCGCAGCTTCAACCTGCTTCAGCCAACATTGTGTGACGACGTAATCGGTGACTAGACATACGTAGTACGTGTCCCAGTCAGCCAGCCATCTCAATCGATGAAGGTTCACAACCTCGTCAACTGATATACCTCTTCTCCCTCTCCAAAACTCTACTCCTGACTTCTGCATTACTCATGTGATGTCGTGACACCATGGAATACGGCCTATACTACGAAGGTAACGGTGGTGAAAACACCTGAAGCCAGCCTTCTCATGTCTTCCACCTTCAATGACCATGTTTCACAGACATATAATAAAACAGACTGGATTGCTGTGCATGTGCAGTACACGCAACCCTTAATAGACAAATGAATATCACGATGGTGCCATAGGTGGAATAAATTGGCGAAAGGCAATCGAGCCTTTTGTATCCGTGGAGATTTCATCGGCAACTGACCCAACAGAGGAGATCCTACTTCCCAGATAAGTGAAGTAAGTAGTCGACAGACTCAACCACTTCACTCACTCTCTATTGTTAGCGGTGGCGGGGCATCGTCTAAGGCGAATCGATGAGCAAAAATTTGCATTTGGGTGGTGAAATTCGCATCCCAAAGATTCTCAAATTGCCACTGAAAGTGTTGAGAAGACTCTGCATCTCATCAGTTAGCGTCTTCACCTAACAGGACTGACTGACTATGTCATCTGCATATTGTAGGTCTAACGAGAATCCTTTTGCGATTAGGTCAACTTTTATTTTATTAGTCTTTATCTCCTTTTCTAATGCATAATATGCTGTCAGTGATTCTTGTATTTCCCAATCCTAAGTTCAATTCTATGTGACTATTGTCTGTCTATCCTTTTTCAGCTCGTCGTACAACTAAACTGTCAGATAAAGAATTAAATTATCTAGAGGTGAATGTGAAAAGTAATTATTATGAAAGTCCAACCGCTTTACAGTATACCACTTTGACTAATGGTCTAACTCCATCGAATTTACAGCTTTTCTCATCCTCCACATCTATTAGTTCGCCTAATGTGTCTACATCAAGTGTATCAAATAGTCGACGTAGTTTAAATTCATCTGAACAACCATCAATTCTTTCATCTACTAAAGGATTATGCTCTTCTTCAAATTTATTACAATCTACTAATCAATATGAATCACAAGTTACTGTTGTATTTCAAAGTAATTCTACTACAGATAATTGTCAAGAAAGTATATTCCTTAGTAAAAATGATTCATTACCAGATGATGAAAAACATTTGGATATCACAAAAATCCAGTCACTACGGTTTGTAGTTTTACAAATAATTCTACTCTTCTTACTAAAGAAACAACCTATCCTAGTGAACCAACTTCAACACAGATACGATATTTAACTCGTTCACATAATACTCAAAAGTGTACTGTAAGTTTACTCTCTCGACGATGTGATAATTGTGATGATGAGAAATCTAATATCAGATTAAAAAACAAAGAAAAGGTTACAGTTGAATCTAAAGCGCCTATTGTTGAACCTTCAATACATAGATTATCAGATGGTGAAATTTCTACAAAACCACGTACTCGAAGATCAACACAATTTCTACAGTCAAATTCACAGACTACTGAATCTTTATGCACTGATCAAAAATCTGCATATCTAACTTCTCAATCATACTATTATGCACCGAATTTTGCTGCTCATCGTCCACGTTGTCCAGAAATCAGTCAACTTTATGAATCAGAACCGAGGGGAACACAAAGAATACCAAAATCTAATATCTTTATCGAAGGTAAGTTGTTTTCATTTCATTTATTTCATTATCAACATAGGACAAGGCATTACTGCATAACGGTCCAACTTGCCACATCTCACGTCAGTTCATCAAGTAGAAAGGTAGTGAGGTGAACGATGAAGACAAGTGAATGCAGTCAAAAGAAGTATAAGGTACGAGAAGAAAGGAAAGAGGAGTGACAAAATAGTGAGATTCGGTATAGCGTTGTTAACATGAGGATAATATGTGTGTGGGGATACATCTGCACCACTAACATCGGTTCTCAGCCATGTGATCACCTACAGTCGGTCTACAACCACTAGCGGTTCCTCGTGTCCCGTCGACCCCAACAACCTAGTCTGCATCATCCTACATGGCTTAAACCAACAGTCAAACACTTCATACATTCGTGCCATGTTTTAGTCTGGCCACCTCGGGCCTTTTCCCACCCTGGACCCACCTCAGCCAACATTGTGTGACGACGTAATCGGTGACGACTAGGCATACGTAGTACGTGTCACAGCCAACCGTCTCAGTCGATGAAGGTTCATAACCTCGTCAACTGATTTACCTCTTCCCCCTTTCCAAAACTCTACTCCTGACTTCTGCATTACTCACGTGATGTCGTCACACCACAGAATACGGCCTATACTACGAAGGCGATGGTGGTCAATCACCTGAAGCCTTTTTATATCTTCCACTCTCAATGGCCATGTTTCACAGCTATGCAGTAGAACAGAGCGAACTGCTGTGCAGTACACGCGACCCTTAATAGACAAACGAATATCACGGCGGCGCCATAGGTGGTGTAAATTGGCAAAAGCCAATCGAGCCTTTTGTATCCATACTGAAATCTCATCCGCAACTAAGCCACCAGGGTTGATCTTACTTCCCAGGTAAGTGAAGTGTGTAGTCGACACACTCAACCACTTCACTCACTCTCTATTGTTAGCCGCGGTACCACTGAAGACCAGTTCTGGAGCAACAATTTGCATTTGGGTGTTGAGAATCGCATCCCAAACATTCTCAAATTCCCACTCAAAGTGTTGAGAAGACTCTGCATCTTGTCAGCGTCTTCACCTAACACAATTATTTGATCTGCATATTCTAGATCTAAATAAAATTCACCTGTGATTTGGTCAACGTTTGTGTAATTAGGTGACGAGAGGGAAACCTCCATAGGTAAGTTGTTGGCTCTCACGCTTCTGAAATACTTTTTATCCGTGTGAATATGACTGACTAGCATAGAGTTTGGATGTTGAAAGCTCGTATATGAAGTGGATGACTTCGATCGTTGGCAATAGTTGTACACTGAGAGGTTGGGTAAGGCGAAAAAGGCCTTATAGTTTCAGAAGGCGGAGGCAAAGGAGGCGACAGAGTTAGTTGACGAGGATACGTTATGTTTGATTGTGTCTTGTGCACTCCTGGAAGCCTTCAGGCAGTTAACGCTTCCCGGTTGCCCATACCATGGGACGCTATTTCTTTTTAGGGTACCTGGAAGAGAAGACAATCTGTATGACCACAGAACCCGTGGAACATTTGCTTGAGGCTTGACACACAGTCTTTTGTGGGTTGTTGTTTTGAGGTTTGGTTGTTCTAACGCTGGATAAGAGAAACCTATACCATCGGCACTGGAAGATCGTGGGGCATGGTGGGGTGTGTTATTTTTGGAGCCGACCTTTTCTAGCTTCCCCCTTCCTCCCATAAAGAAGACAGCATCAACCTTCCGCTGTTGGTCATCCAAAGGAAACACGTTTTTGTTGTCAAACCGCGTGCAGCTAGTAACAGTACGACTTCTCTCTGAGACCCCCCATCATAGTGTAGCAATTTCCACGACATCGGTAACTGCTTTTCGTCTTACTACCATCCAACAGATCTTTCTGGTATGCTGTAGGAGCTAGAGGGAACAAGCGTTCCACCAGCATAACTCATTTAGTCATTGTGATATACAAGTCTCACCACCACGTCAAGGTGTAGCAGTTATCGGTCGGTGGTGTAAGTGTTAGTACAAATGAAGTCTCACTCATGGAGAAAGAATGGTTGTTCTTTTGTGGAAGCTCGCCTCTTCGAATAACGTGAAGCTTATTATGCTCGTATGATTTTGAAATGGTGGAAAATATTTATAGCTCAGGTGGATGACCCTAGTTGTGTTCTCTCAGCTGAGTTGTTTTAGTCGTGGAGCCTTCATCGTCTTTCTAGAAGACATCTTCAACACTAACTTCAGAGAACACAATACAACCAAGACCATCCACTTGAGCCACCATTTCAAAATCATACAAGCGTAACACGCTTCACGTTGTTCGAAGATGGGAGGACTTTCTCCATGAAATGACACGACTAAACAACCCAGCTGAGAGAACACAATACAACCAATACAAATGAAGTCTGTTATACACAAGAATGGATTTCATTCTTCACTATTAAATATTAGACCAGTACATCAAGACGATAATGAAATCCAAGAAAGGAAACAATGCAATCAGAAGTCATAAAATGTCATATAAAGGGAAGAAAAGCAGGTGAAATGTTGTGATGTGGCATAGAATACTGCTACACAACTAAGATTGATTCTGGGTTCTCAAGTATCTAAGGTTTCCAATTGTCGATTCCAGTTGTTTCGTTTACCTCAACTATAATTCGATTCATCACTTTAAACTAGACAACATGAAGTTAGTTACTTTCCATTAAGCAATCAGTATGCTTAATTCAATCTCACAAGAGTTCAATCGTGGCTTGATAAAGGGTTAAAACCACAGGCAGGACATCAGTTCCGTCGTGAATTTGCAGATACACCTTGCTGATGAGTGACAAGAAAGCTAAAAACTTATGTCAAGCTACGCTTCTTGTCTATTGCCTCCATCATCTAAGCATGTCTACATAATATCTCCCTGCTTTCAATGACTCTGATGGTTATTCGCACTCGTCAACAAAAAGTCAGAGAAAATTCATGAACTGATGGCATGTTTTATTTAGTCTAACCACCTTTAACCTTTGTCTAACTAAACTACACGCATGCATCCTCAAGTGCACACTGACGATATACGTAACAGGAATGTATATCCAAGCCTCTTGAGTCGACATAAGTCAACAACCTTATTAACTGACTAATCTCTTTTGCCAAAGACTTACACGTCTCTACAGTCAGTCAATGAGACAACAATCAAAGGAAACAACCAATCACAGACCACATCGTCAGAGCAAGCTACAGAATCACTGACGTAGTGATATTGACAGCTAGCTCACTTCATACTGGAGTTAGTGGTGATGATGTCACTGTCTAGAAAGACGATGAAAGCTGCAGGATTAATCCATCCAACTAAGAGAACACAGTACAACCAATGATGTTTTATAGGCTTATACACTATCTTCTGAAACTAAATTGAACTTTTAGCTGAATAGAGGTACTTGTCTGCAAAGCATATCTGCAACCTTGAGTGGACTGATCTCCTGTATTAAGTTCGAACCCTTCATCACATCCAGTTCTGCAATCATCTATGTTACGAATGAGCCACAGTTGTCCTCTTATAGGACTGGATTTGATCATTAGAGGGCAACCAATTTCATGTTGTGTAGTTCTGAGAGTTCTACTCGAGTCCGATCAACCATTTTTATAGTATAGTAAGGTCTCTGACTGTAGCTCTGGTTGATTTGGGCTCAAATCTCAGAGAGGATATCATCTCCTTTGAGGTTGTAGATATACCTTGCTAATACAAGTGTCAGAAGCTGCACTCATGACTAGACAACGTAAAATTCATCACTCTCCTGTCACTAATCAATGCACCAATTCAACTGGTGTTAAAAACAATTGTAGATTCCAGTTTTCTGAAGGTTATTCAGAATTTCATCCTTCCCATCATTCTATACACTTTTTATCTCACAAGTAAAAAGTTTGATTATTTTGAACTTTTGTATTTGGGGCCGGATGGTCGAAAGGGAACGACAAGTGAACCCACTAAGTACATCACGTTATTGAAAGCTCTCTACTCGAACACTTGTGGGCATGTTGGAGCCTATGGCGAGTTGTCCAAGGAGCTATACTCATCAAGTGGTGTCCGTCAAGGATGCTCACTATCTCCATTCTTATTTAATTTTATCATAGATATTCTTATGGAGGTTTCCCTCTCATCACCTAATTACACAGATGTTGACCCAATCACAGGTGAATTTTCTTTAGACCTAGAATATGCAGATGACATAGTCAATCCTGTTAGGTGAAGACGCTGACTGATGAGATGCAGAGTCTTGTGAACACTTTGAGTGGGAATTTGAGAATGTTTGGAATGCGATTTTCACCACCCAAATGCAAATCGTTGCTACACGATTCGTCTTCAACGGTGCCCCACTACGGCTAACAATAGAGAGTGAGTGAAGTGGTTGAGTGTGTCGACTACTTACTTCATTTACCTGGGAATTAGGATCACTCGTGACCTGGTGGGTTAGTTGCCGATGAGATCTCTGCACGGATACAAAAGGCTGGATTGGCTTTTGCCAATTTACACCACCTATGGCGCCACCGTGATATTCATTTGTCTATTAAGGGTTGCGTGTACTGCACATGCACAGCAATCCGGTCTGTTCTACTGTATGTCTGTGAAACATGGCCATTGAAAGTGGAAGATATGAGAAGGCTTCAGGTGTTTGACCACCGTTACCTTCATAGTATATGCCGTATTCTGTGGTGTGACGACATCACGTGAGTAATGCAGAAGTCAGGAGTAGAGTTTTAGAGAGGGAGAAGAGGTGAGTCAGTTGACGAGGTCATAAAGCTTCATCGATTGAGATGGCTGGCTGACTGTGACACGTACTACGTATGCCTAGTCGTCACCGATTACGTCGTCACACAATGTTGGCTGAGGTGGGTCCAGGGTGGGAAAAGGCCCGAGGTGGCCAGACTAAAACATGGCACGAATGTATGAAGTGTTTGACTGTTGGTTTAAGCCATGTAGGATGATGCAGACTAGGTTGTTGGGGTCGGTGGGACACGAGGAACCGCTAGTGGTTGTAGACCGACTGTAGGTGATCACATGGCTGAGAACCGATGTTAGTGGTGCAGATGTATCCCCACACACATATTATCCTCATGTTAACAACGCTATACCGAATCTCACTATTTTGTCACTCCTCTTTCCTTTCTTCTCGTACCTTATACTTCTTTTGACTGCATTCACTTGTCTTCATCGTTCACCTCACTACCTTTCTACTTGATGAACTGACGTGAGATGTGGCAAGTTGGACCGTTATGCAGTAATGCCTTGTCCTTTGTTGGTAATGGTGATGATAATGATGAGTAAAATGTTTAACTATTTGACACCAAAACATTCGTTTGACTTCTTGAATAAATTTTGTCGTCACAGTTTTTTTTTCTCTTTGAGATCTTGTTTGTGAATGTAATCGATTGACTATTACTTATTCTAGTTCCTAGTTGGCGTGTTATACCTATCCCTATCACTGGAAATAATCTTGACTGTTCTTGTGGAAGGAAACATTCTACATTGTGTTCCAAAAATCAACAAGCTAATCATAAGTTAACCGATACAGACAATCTGAAATCGCATAATCTTCGTACTGTACGTTCCAGTTTACTGACAAATAATTCTATGTGTACAAATGGAAATGATACTGCTTCGACATTATCTAGATTAAGAAGTCGATCAGGATGTTTGAAAACACAAAAATCTCATTCACAAACAATTGGTGTTTTATTCGAAGGGGAAGAAACAGAGGCAGAGAATATATCTGATGCAGCATATCTTGCTCGTCATTCACGCTTAGAAGTGGAAGAAGCTCGTCGTGAACGTTTATCCCGTCAGCGTACAGCTGAACAAGAGCTGAAACAACGCTTAGAAGAAAGAGATCAAGCTAGCTGGGTAAGTAACAAATAGTTATTACATTAAAAGTTAAATACATAATCGTTGTTACCCCTTTTTTTTGACATCGTTTCAAATCTATATCAGAATCTGTTTGTACAGATGTGCATAACTAAGTGGGAGTCCCCGAAGTCCGTTCTGATAAGTAGTCGTGACCGGTAGGGCAACCCAAGTTAGAAGTGAGGACAGACGCTTAACGTGACGGTGCACTGTATTGCGAAGTGTGACATAAGTAAGAAAGTGTCACTTGATGGTCACTTGCTGGCTGCGAAACCTGAAGGTCTTGGGTTCGACCTCTTGAGGGAGGGGTCAGGGGCATACACTGCTGAGTTGTACCGGATTAAAGATATTCATTATGTTTTAGATGTTGAGATGCATTTCAACGAAGCATCGGCCTTCACAAGTAGTAACAGACTATCAGCTTTCATATCTACAAACCTGTGATTTGGTTCATTGACTCAGGCATTCGATTTGGACTTGTTTACCCCCCCCTTCCCCCTTCATCTATACCATCTGTTACCACGGTTTTGGCAACCGGTTAGTCATAAATAGCTTTTGCACAATGTGTGTGGTCAATGAGTGTTGTGGCTTGCAGAAAGGACACCCAGAAGTGCGCCACACAAAAGGGCATTTCAGTAAAGGGATATTCATTACTTTTCGGTAGCAAAAGAAGGTAGGAGGGAGCTAGAACATGACCGCCACTGAGCTGCATGATCTCGTGGATCCCAACACAGGGAGTCGTGATGCACCAGCACAGATGGTAGCGCGATACAACTATCCTTCGTACCACGATGACATGTCATACATTGGTCACCCTTTCACTTCTTCCATCCAGTCCTAGGCCCAGAGCTGAAAAACAATGAACGGTATAGCAGCTGTTGGGATGACATCCGCAACAGATGTCCAAACCACTGAAGCGGGTGTTTTCAGTTAACTTCACTTATTGAATGATGATCTCCATCATGCCTGAGCAGACGCTATCGTGCCTCGGGATTACTTAAATAGTTCTGCCACAGGGTAAGAGCAATCCTACGGAGATAACGATGATCGAACACACCTAGTCGTCGCTCATGGAGGCCAGGTTTCACAAGTGTGGAGCAGAATTGCTTGCACCGAAGCCTTGTAAACCCAACGTCTTACGGTCAGGCTAACGTCTCGACGGCATCAAAGATGATCCACTTCGGCTTTCTATATGCAGTTGGATACGAACACAAACAACTTTTCGACTACTTCCAACGGTTCACCACTGACTGTGAGAGCAGACACATTCTCCTTCCAATCTTGTAAAAGTGTAGTGGGCGTTGCTGATACGAAATGGATGTAAGTAGCATATGTTGGGAGGATGGCAGAAATCATAGGGAATTACCAGTTTAGTCAACTTCACAGCCAATACCAGCGGATCTTCATCTATTCCAAGTTTCGTGCGTCGGAACTGTTACATCGCCAGCTGCCTGTCCGCTGGGCTGTCAAACTCTACCTCTAGGCGTCCAACCACTCTCCCCCAAATCTCCTCATTCACACGTTTCACGCCGTCATATGCCACTTTCTCTCTACCCCGTCAGCAACGTGCCAAGCGCCATGACTTTCGCTCCGGGATCGTGAATACCCACCAGCTCCGTGACCGACAGGAAGACCTTGATTTCTCTATCCTCGAGCATCGCAGGCCACGAAATCTTCATCACGTCCAGAAGCAGCGACACCAATTGTAGAAAATGGCATCATGGAGACATATTGTACAGTCGTCATCAAATATTGTACACCTTGCACTAAGTCAGTCATTTGCTTCATTTCCTCTTCTGCTTCTCTCTTAATATGCCCACATTGTCTCTTGCGTTTCTCTCGGCAGGATCTTTACTTATTCCTGGTAATTCCCCATGAATGTTGCCGCCCTCTCAACACATACTACTTATATCCATTCTTATCAGCAACGCCCACTGCAAAAGTACTTAGCACTTCGATAGAATAAGGATGTACAATATTTCATGCCCCGATTGTTTGGAAACAATAATTGAACTTGATCATCGATAGCTTTTTATAAGACAGGTTTGAACGATTTACACTGTCTTATATAGTTTTTTGTTCATCCATAGAGGAATTCCTCTCTATCTCAAAATATTCACACTGTGCCAGGTCCTGGAACATAGGCATGCTTACTGACGCCCGACAATAGCTGTATTTCTCATCGAGCGGTGTCCGTCAAAGGTGCCCACTGTCTCCATTCTTATTCAATTTTATCATAGATATTCTTATGGAGGTTTCCCTCTCGTCACCAGGTTACACAGACGTTGACCCAATCACAGGTGAATTTTATTTAGATCTAGAATATGCAGATGACATAGTCAATCCTGTTAGGTGAAGACGCTGACTAATGAGATGCAGAGTCTTGTGAACACTTTGAGTGGGCATTTGAGAATGTTTGGGATGCGATTCTCAACACCCAAATGCAAATTGTTGCTCATCGATTGGTCTTCAACGGTGCCCCACCACGGCTAACAATAGAGAGTGAGTGTAGTGGTTGAGTGTATCGACTACTTACTTCACCTTACCTGAGAATTAGGATCACTCGTGACCTGATGGGTCAGTGACCGATGAGATTTCTGCACGGATACAAAAGACTGGATTGGCTTTTGCCAATTTACACCACCTATGGCGCCACCGTGATATTCATTTGTCTATTAAGGGTTGCGTGTACTGCACGTGTAAAACAGTCCGGTCTGTTCTACTGTATGTCTGTGAAACATGGTTGTTGAAGGTGGAAGACATGAGAAGTCTGGCTTCAGGTGTTTGACCACCGTTACCTTCGTAGTATATGCCGTATTCTGTGGTGTGACGACATCACGTGAGTAATGCAGAAGTCAGGTGTAGAGTTTTAGGGAGGGAGAAGAGGTAAGTCAGTTGACATGGTTGTGAGCCTTCATCGATTGAGATGGCTGGCTGACTGTGACATATACTACGTATGTCTAGTCACCGATTGCCTTGTCATACAATGTTGGCCGAAGTAGGTTGAAGCTGGAAAAAACGCCTCGAGGTGGCCAGACTAAAACATGGCACGAATGTATGAAGTGTTTGACTGTTGGTTTGAGCCATGTATGGGGGGAGGGTAGGGGTGATGCAGACTAGGTTGTTGGGGTCGGTGGGACAAGAGAAACCGCTAGTGGTTGTAGACCGACTGTAGGTGATGACGTGGCTGGGAACCGATGTCAGTGGCGTAGATGTATCCCCACACACATATTACCGTCATGTTGACGACGCTATACCGAATCTCACCATTTTGTCACTCCTCTTTCCTTTCTTCTCGTACCTTATACTTCTTTTGATTACATTCACTTATCTTCGTCGTTCACCTCACTACCTTTCTACTTGATGAACTGACGTGAGATGTGGCAAGTTGGAATGTTACGCAGTAATGCCTGGTCCTATGTTGATAATGATTGATTGATTGACTTGTTGTTGTATTATGACTAACTAATTAAGCTGCAGAGCATTAATGATGGTGGAGTTGATCCTTGAAAAAAGGTGAAACTACTACTGTTACTACTATCATCGCTACTAATTAATAATAATCTTTTTCAATTCGATGTATGTTTTTTTCAATTGAACAGCATAAAAGGCAGTCTGGTCGTTTGGATCGATTGTTGAAGTTCCAGCCAGCTAAGCGAATGCCAACCCACTTGAACTATACATTTAGAGAAGGTATGCATATGTATATTTATTTACTCATATAGTTTTCTTTCTTGTGGTATATATATATGTCTATTCGAGGAGTAATGGGCTACCCTGAGAACGTTATATTAATCCCGCTAACAAAATCTCAGCGCGAATAGAGAAGATCCATTCGGCATTTACAAACTTGTGTCATTTGTGGCACTGACTGCTGAGATATCCAACTACTAACCAAAGGGCGAGTATGCTGCACTATATTTCATTCTTGGCCTATTGTATACAACTGTAAGACGTAGCCGTTGAAAGTACACGACATGAAGCAGTTACTGCGTTTTGATAACAGATGTGTTGTTTTGTGGAATTACTGCTTGAGGAATGCTGAAGTAAGGCGAAGGGTACCATGCAAATCGATTGATGAGGTTGTTAATGTTCATTGACTGAGGTGGCTTGGACTTGTGTTACGCATACTGAGTCCCTATCACCTACGTTGACGCGTACCATATTCGGGGAAGTTCGTAACTGTTGGTTTGAGTTATGTGGAGAAAATGTGAACTGCGCGGTTGAGGTCTCCAAGACGAAAAGAATCAGTGGTCACCAGGATGTGTGACAACTTGAAGGGATACGATAGTGTAGGAGATTCTACTTTGATTTCGTAGGTGATGTAGTTGTGAAAGTCATTGAAAGTTATAATACATCTGTTAATTTTCACATCCTCATGATAGGAATTAATTTCTGGAGGAAGTGAATATGTGTAGCGCTTTATAATACTCGTATTATATGTAGAATACTAGTACTCCAACAGTCTATCTACAGACGTGACCACCGATCATTTTGATCCACCGTTGTGTTTTTAGTGCGAGTTACCTGTAATCCGACCTAGCTACTTAATGGTTCCAAACTTCCCAGGAATTCATAAGTTCCTGGGGGGGGAGGGTGCACATCTCTATGCTTGTCCATCCAGTAGGTAGTGAGCCATACCTGACTGCTATTCGAACCTTGGTAGGTGGGTCAGAGTTCGAACCCGTAAATCAACTCCCTGAACCAATGAACCACAGCTCTACTTTGACCTCCTTCTTTGTGTTTTCAATGTATTTGATATGTAATGTAACCCAATGGCAATGTACCTCCCAGCGAAATTGGCAGGTCCTGGCTTCGATCCTCTCCTCGGGAGAGCGGAATCATGGATACGCACTGCTGAAGAGTAGTATACTAGATTAGGATAAAACAAACTACTTTCCAAATTTTCATAATGTTGCTTCTCCAGTGGTAACTTGAAATCAATGGAAATAAATCGCTACAAATGTTTAAATTGAATTTGTGTTCGCTATTTTCAGTTCATCAATTTCATTTGGAAAATTGCATACCTGTGATTGTATTCGGTTGTCGTGTACCATCAGCATCATTAATGTAAGTTGTATAGAATATTGTTATATTGCTTCTTTTTTATGATGATGATGACCAGTAATCACAATGTATCAATATGTGTGTATGGGTGTGTACGGCTGAGGAGATGCATACTACGGCGAAACATAACTAGCTATCCACTGATGTCAATCTCCGATGAATACTACCTCAAAATTAATATCCCCATCAACCTTAGAATGTACTACTGTTTAGTGCTTATTAATGACACGCTTCGAGATGGATATCCTGAAGTTCTAATGAAAAGCTGTGACTACTGATGAAGGTCAACCAGTCGGAAGGGAAGTTAATATCATCTGAAGACGTATGGTGAATTGATAGAAGTTGGAAACTCTGAAGCATTGAACTCCGACTCAATAGGTGAATAGTTAGCGTGTTTAGCGTGAAACTTGAAGGTTATGAGTCCGATCCATAGTCTGAGTCGTGAGTGTGTGCTCCTGAGGAGTCCTGTACTAGGACGAAACGAAGCTAGATGTTTATTGCTTCCAGGTTTTCTTTCAGTGATTCTTCAATTGATCTCAGTCTGAGGATGAATATACTACCTTAAAATGATAATAATAAAATCTTATACTGGGTGATGATTGTAGGCGAGATGAAAATTTAAACTGTAGTCGGATTCGAACCAGCGACCACTAGGTTACCAGCCCGATGGTCTACCAACTGAGCTAGCTATGAGATCCAACTGTTGACTAGATTTTCGTTTCAGCAGTCGGACGTCGTAGCTCAGTTGGTAGAGCATCGGGCTGGGAACTCGGTGGTGACTGTTTCGATTCTGACCATGGTCTAAATTTTCATTTGACCTTCACTGAGTATATGAAGCAAAGCCGTACAGCTGTTAGCTCAATGGGGTTTGACAACAGAAAAGTGTCCCCCTTGAACGACTAGCAGTGCGATTTTGATGCTGCTTTCCCCATGGGAAGAAGAGGTATGGTTAAGAAAGGTCGGCACACACTCCACCATGCTCTATGATTTTCCTATACCAGCAGTATGGGTTTCTCCTATCCAGCTTTCGAGTAACCAGACCTCAAAACAACAACCCACAAATGACTATGTGTAACAGGTCTCAAGTAAATATTCATTGAGCTCTGTGGTCACACAAATTTTTTTCTCTTTCAGTTATCTTAAGAAGAAATAGCCTCATACGGTGTGGATGACCGGGAAGTGTCATATACTTTATCAAACAGTATTCATGTGTTGACTCAGAAAAACAGTAGAAGGCAGAGGTGTTATTTCGGAGTGTTTCGTTACTTGTTTCTCTTGGACAAGGGAAAAATAATCCAGGTGAAGGCATACGTTAGCATATATGTACACTTTTTCCACCTGAAATCTAGTTAGCTCACTCGCATAGATTGATCCATTTGCAAATGCTTGGAACACATCGACGCATCTCTCACACCCAACTGTAATAGTGTTCATAGGGTTCCCGTCGGAAACCATCCTAGTCAACCGTAAACCCAAGGTGTGTATGTATGTGGTCCCTGACATAAAATAGTGTTATGAACTAATGAAATATACTACTACTGAACAACTTGATTCGTTAGAAGTTAGATCAAAGTGATCTAATTACTGGATGGTCGTTTCACTTGTTTGGCACCGAGCCAACTCATCATCGAGGGACCCAGAGAAATTCAGCTGGGATATACCCAAATTGTTCCGTTCATCTAAATCCAGCTAGCTGACTTGTATAGACTGGTGTACGTAGAACAAAATAATCACAAGGTATATTGTTGCTAGTTCATAACACTTTTGTATCAGAGATCACACACGTTCTGTTCGTTGAAAATATTCGACTCTATGAAGTGGATTTGTTCGAGTTCAGTGTGTCGATCACTCTGATTGGCTGGCTGGCTGACGACATCTAGCCATCATCAACCAGTAGTATATTTCACTGATGGATAACGTGTGGTTATCGCAATAGACAGCATATGTCCATGATAGCACATCATCATTCTCTAGGATGTGAGTTCATTCCATTCACTGAATAGTGAGTTGTAGTACACTTTCCCCTTTTTCAACCAACCAAATGTAGACGCGTAGCGTACGAGTTGAATCCTCAGTGAAACGAGGAATTGTTCATCATCTAATTAAAATGTTACCTCACTGGTTAAGGCATCCTGAAGAGGTTATTTGTGAGTGGGTCAACTCATCGCTAGTGTATCCGGACAGATTGAAGTCACACAGGTGAATTGTTCTGATCACGCGAATATAGATAGGTCACTTGTGAAGACTGGTACGTCTGGAAATGACTTACAAATCCCATGGTCGATGTTGACACGTTTGTGTCAAACAGCTGATTGGCTGACGAAATCTACCCATTATCAACCAGTAGTATATTTCACTGATGGATAACGTGTGGTTATCACAATAGACATCATATAAGTAGCAGTACAATTGAATATCATCAATCCCCTCTTCTTTAATCAACCAACTATTCATATTCTTCTACTCTATTCCATTTACAGACCATTCACAAAGTCCAGTTAATGTTCAATGAATTTCAATAATCCATGAAGTATGTTCAATATATCCCCTCAGGTGTTACTCCTACAATGTGTGTTGTGTACAGTTCTGTTTCGTTCTGTTCTATTCTGTTTTATTGTGAATACTTCTTCTTCTTCTTCTTCTTCTTGTTCTATGTATGTATATTTTTATGTAAATAATTTGTGTGTGTGTGTGTCTATGTATATTTACTTTTATATGCTGAATGGGTATATAACAATGTTCATGCGGGGTTATTTTGTACACACCATTTCTCCTTGATAGCCTTGTTATCTTCTCAGAGACTGGTTGTTCCTGTGTGTGTGTGTGTGTTGGTGGTGAATGATACACAATAATTCACGCCGTTACACACACACACACATACACACATTACTTTTCTTCGAAGTAGTAATTGCTCATTAATATATACATGTATCATGTTTACTTCAGTTCATTATTTTTCGTTCCCTTTCAATAAAATGGCCTTATTTTACACAGCATTTTAATTGATTTCAGTTGAAAAATACGATTTGTCTTTATCCAGTTCGACTGATTGATTATTTTCCAATCCGTTGGGTGTTTTTTTATTACAGTTATGCTTATCACGAACACCATTTTATTATGTACAATGCAGTAGTACTTGTGTGTGTGTGTGTGTGTGATCCCCTACGACACACATACGCACGCCTGCGTGCACGTACAACTCTTGTCCAAGTACTGTGTATGCATTTCTTTTCATACAATTTGTATGTATATATACACATAAATGTATATTGTATTGTTGTGTTTTAGTGAAGTTGTATCCAGCTGATGAGTCCTGGATGGGACGAAACCTGCGTACTGGATTCTATTGTTTGTCAATGTAAATCATTATCCTATTCATGGTACTCGTCAATACTAAACATCCATGATCAAGGTGGGATTCCGGAAATTCAAATCTCTGGAAAGGGTGAACATGTTGACCATTTAGCTATCTAGTCGAGGTTGTGGTGGTTCTAAGAGTTTTGTGATAGGATTTGTGTTTCCTTTGTCCAAGATCTCTATACTGTGAGAATTGAATTCATGTCTATAGCTGATCTTTGTGCATTGATATAAAACTATGAAATGTTTTGACGTTTAATAGTCAGATGAAGACAGCGACTACTTTGACCTACTAGCTACACTAATTTCAAGTGATCACAAGTAATCTTGTCGTGATCTCTCATCTATGTATATTCTTTACCTATGGTAGGATCATCCATTTCCGGATTTCTGTGGATGACTTGACTTTGTAGTTGATACTGCATGAGATAGGCATGTTCTGAGGAAGTTTCTTGGCCTCATTATTCCCGCTGCCGTTATATTGTCTATTCATAAGTTTACTGGAGACTGTAGACCTATCAGAAACTGTAAAAAACTGTTGAACTCTGTCCCAGTGAGTGAATTTTTAACACATTCCCCATGAAACCTGAAGGTCATAAGTTCGTTCTTTAACCGGGTCTTGGGTGCACACTGATGAGGAGTCGCATAATGGGGCGAAACGGCTTTCGAATGTTTCAAGGTATTCGATACTTCTCCAACTAATGTTAGTCCGTTATTAATACTACTTCAAGATTAAAATCCCCACCAACCTCAAAGTATATTACTCCCCATAATACTCATTTGTGACACGCTTCGAGATGTATATCTCGAAGTTCTAATGAGAATCCGTGACCGGTGGTACGGTCAACCACTTAGAAATGAAGCTGATATCATGTGAAGACCTTTGGTAAATAGTCGGGCTGTGTGGTGAGTTGGGAGAAGTTGGAAACTGTGAAACACTGTTTCTCAATGAAGACGTGCTCACTTCGAAACACGTAGGTTGCGGATTATGGATGCGTACTTCTGAGGGGTCCCATACTAGGACGAAACGTCTCTCCTAAGCCTTTTTTGTTGTTTGACATCTTAGAGTAAGTTTCGATGCTTCCATATCAATACACGCTTTGCCCAACAACTCCCTCAAAATTCAATTGAACTGGTGCTCATTGGTGACTAGCTTCGAGAGGTGATTCCCGAAGTTCCAATGATAAGTCGTGACCGGTGGGGGCAAATCCTGATATTGTTAGTTCTTGCTTTGACTGTCACTTCCAGCAAACATAAGGAAATTGATAATTTATTTTGTGGACCATACTCCTTTCCTGACTGAGGTGTCTTTAAGTTTTATGTGAACGCTGTCGAATTCAACATGTCAGGTTAGCTCGACTTTACTGGTGATGTCGTTGTCCAGCATCCACGATGAATATGATCGGTTGGGAAATCCGGTTAACCAAAACATTCAAAGTTTAGAAGACGTCATTGTGATCGATTCTCAATCGTTTCATAAGGAGTTGTCAATCACTCATTCGTATCGTCTCAGCGACTCCAGTCAAGTAGTATACACCTTTCTACACGACTCAAATCAACAGTCAGGAACTTTATGAACTGGTGCCACTTCATGGTCTGGTCACCCTGAACCCTCTCCCAACCTAATCTAACTTCGCGTAGCATTGCACATCGAGGTCTGTGCATGTCGGACCACCTCAATCACTGAGGATCCACAGCCTTCTCTTCCTTGCTTAGTACTCTTCTTTTGACCTCAACATTTCTCATACGGTGATTCCAACCAAACGCGAACAATGCTAAGAAGATACCTACAGTCAGAGGCTTGTAACCGCTTCATGTCTTCTACTTGTCAACAAAATGTCTTCGACGCCTGATTGGAGCTCGGGGACAGCGAAGCCCGAGAAAATCAATCAGGCATTAGACAAGGCCGTGGACATACCGACCAAATATTCACACTGCGTCACGTTCTGGAACACAGACACACTTACCGACGCCTAACAATAGCTGTATTTCTCGATCTGAAGGCGGTGGAATTCGATTCCGTCGACCGACAAATCTTATGGCAATGTCTCTCACTGAAGGACGTGTCGAGTAAGTACATCGACTCATTTATTAAAGGCTATCTACTCAAACACTTGTAGATGTGTTAGAGCCTATGATGAGATGTCCGGAGAGCTGTACTCGTCGAGTGATGTCTGTCAAGGGTGCCCACTCTATCCATTCTTATTCAATTTCATCATAGATATTCTTATGGAGGTCTCTCGTCACCTGACTACAAAGAGGTTGACTTACTCGCGAAAGAATTCTCGTTAGACCTACAATATGCAGATGACATAGTCAATCCTGTTAGGTGAAGACACTGACAAGATGCAGAGTCTTGTGAACACTTTGAGTGGGAATTTGAGAATGTTTGGGATGCGTTTCTCACCACCCAAATGCAAATTATTGCTACACGATTCGTCTTCAACGGTGCCCCACTACGGCTAACAATAGAGAGTGAGTGAAGTGGTTGAGTGTGTCGACTACTTACTTCACTTACCTGGGAAGTAGGATCAGTCATGACCTGATGGGTTAGTTGCCGATGAGATTTCTGCACGGATACAAAAGGCTCGATTGGCCTTCGCCAACTTACGCCACCTATGGCTCCATCATGATATCCATTTGTCTATAAAGGGTCGCGTTTACTGCACATGCACAGCAATCCGGTCTGTTCTACTGTATGTCTGTGAAACATGGTCATTGAAGGTGGAAGACATGAGAAGTCTGGCTTCTGGTGTTTGACCACCGTTACCTTCGTAGTATAGCCCGTATTCTGTGGTGTGACGACATCACGTGAGTAATGCAGAAGTCAGGAGTAGAGTTTTGGAGAGGGAGAAGAGGTAAATCAGTTGACGAGGTTATGAACCTTCATCGATTGAGATGGCTGACTGACTGTGACATATACTACGTATGTCTAGTCACCGATTGCCTTGTCATACAATGTTGGCTGAAGTAGGTTGAAGCTGTAAAAAGGCCCGAGGTGACCAGACTAAAACATGACATCAATATATGAAGTGTTTGACTGTTGGTTTGAGCCATATGGGGGCGATGTAGACTTGCCAGCCGGTTGGTGTTCGCGAGACTAGAGGAGTCAGTGGTTGGAGACTGACTGTATGTGACATGGCTGAGAATCGATGTCAGTGGCGCAGATGTATCCCCTCATCTTAGCGATGCTATACCGAATCTCACTTTTTGTCAATCTTCGTCTCTCTCTTTTATTACTTTGTATTTCTTGTGACTAAATTTTCTTATCTTCATCTTCCACTTTACTGCTTACCCTTTTTTACTTGATGTAGTGATATGAGGTGTGGGAAGTGGGAGGGTTACGCAGTGATGCCTTGTCCTATGTTGATATTGATGATGATTCCTTCCAGGCGTACAACAACTTTAGCTGATGAAGTTACAACTAGGTGGTATGCGACACTTCTAGTATCCTACTATTTGATTACAATGAAAGTCATTCAGAATACAACAAGAGGTCGGTAAGATAAGGGAGTCAAAATGAAGATAGCTGTAGTTGACTGTGGCTCACATCTTTTGGGAACTTCAATTATCCTTTCACGTTGGTATTCATCATGGAATTGAGATCAGTTGGAGGAACATTGGAAACCTGGGAGCACTAGACAGGTAGCTGTTTCCTCCTATTGTGGAGCTCTTCAGCACTGCCCACCCACCTAATCATTGGGGTCATCGGTGCGCACTGCTGGAGAGTCCCATACCAGGATGAAACTGTTGTCCAGTGCTCTTAGGTTTTTAATGTTTCTCCTACTGATGTCATTCCATGATGCATAGAAACTTGAAAATACCACTAAATTCAACTTGAATTGTATCACATGTCATCATTATTAGAGACAGTTTACTAACTTTGAACTAAGATAAAGTTGAATTCGATTTTCAAGTTTTTCGTTGCATTGCGTTCTCTGACGAGCTGGGTTGTTTAATCGTCGTGAAGCTTTCATCCTGTCTTTCTAGACAGTGACATCATCACCACTAACTCCAGTATGAAGTGAGCTAGCTGTCAATATCACTACATCAGTGATTCTGTAGCTTGCTCTGACGATGTGGTCTGTGATTGGTTGTTTCCTTTGATTGTTGTCCCACTGACTGAATGTAGAGATTTTCCTGTT